CTACCAACCTACCAACCTGCCAACCTACCAACCTACCAACCTACCAACCTACCAACCTACCAACCTACCAACCTACCAACCTACCAACCTACCAACCTACCAACCTACCAACCTACCAACATACCTTCCTACCTTCCTACCTTCCTACCTTCCTACCTTCCTACCTTCCTACCTTCCTACCTACCTAGCTACCTACCTTCCTACCTACCTAGCTACCTACCTCATTTACAAAATTTCTCTTCCTATTTATCTATCTATCCATCTATCTATCTATCTATCTATCTATCTACCTATCTATCGATCTATCTGTCTATCTATCTATCTATCTATCTATCTATCTATCTGTCCATCTGTCTGTCTATCTATCGGCCTATCGATCAATCGATCTATCTACCCACCCATCTGCTTATTTACGTATTATTTATGTACTGTTTTGAAGCTTTAAGCCGTCAATCAATGGCCAACCTCGCCAAAAACATTGCGTCGTCTACTCAACCCTCCCCTAAGCCCTAATGTCACCTAAACCCTCAGAGCCAGCTGGAAGGTACCGGAATCCGCAGTTCCGGGTCAAGCTGAAGCAGTCCGAGGATGGTTCCGCTGCCTTTCTGTAAGGCAGAGATTCGCCCATTCAGGATGTAGGCTTCAGGGGGTGCACCGGCGAGCATTCTGCGTTTTCGATGCTTATTGTATTGGACTGCAATGCAAACGGTCCTTTTGGGGCGCAAAAGTGGCTGCCGTGGGCAAGTGTTCACATATCAGATACTTCCAGATGCTCAGCAACAATCTCGCACTAGGCCCCAAGCCCGAAACCCGAGACGCCAAATCACAGGTCCCGCACCCTAAAAGAGAAAAAGGCGTCACAATCGAAGCCCTAGACGAATCCCGAAAAGAGCTGCACGCATTCGCTAATGCTCATAAGAGTTCTATCAGGTTGTAGAGGTTTCTGTTCCCTTTTTTGAGTTTCTAACACGAAAACAGGAGCCACCGCCGGCCGAGCCGCGCACCACCTTAGCGCTGCCAGCTCCAGATCCGAATCGCAGCAAGACGCCTCCACCACCCAGGCTGAAGGGAGGCTTCGGATTTACGGTTTGAGGTTTAAGGTGTCAGGTTGTGGCAAGGGCCTTTATTGGTGAATCGCAGGTTTCTACGAGAGTCGGCTCTTTTTCGGCGGATTTTTTACGGACTGTCGGACTTGTTGAGTTGTAGGCGGTTCGGACGGCTTGTGCATGAATGCTACTCTCAGCGAGCTTCCGTGTCTGGTGAGTGTTCACAGCAGCTATAGGTATGCGGCTGGCACACTGCAAGCTTTCCGGTTCATGTTATTGTTCCCTACAGGCTTGGGTAAGGCATATGATGATGAGTTCGGGTTGAAAGGGCAAGCATGATAAGCAAGGTGGAGACCTTTCGCGGGATTGTGCACTTTGGCTTTGAGTGCTGCCGGCGCCTTCTGTCATTTCGCATAGGAGAAGTAGGAGTAGGAGTAGGA